AGAGTGTATTTAGTGGTTATAGTACGTAAATCAAGAATAACAAGTGAGTTCATTGCAGAGCCCACTGTACAGACTTGAATAAATAGCTTGACCTTTGGAAGTCTGAGAGCTTCAATTTATCTGCTCTCTGAATATACTTACAATAAAAATGCCATTAGAAGTATGCTGTGAAGATGAATGTCAGTGAAAACTGTAAGACCCGTGAATAAGAGATAAAAAAGAACTCTAAATACCATAACTATAAACTAATTAAAATTTAATGTGACTTAAACATCACATAGTTATCTAGGATAGATTCATAGATAATACACTAATAGCAATTTTTTATTTATATTATATTTCAAAGTCTTAAACATAAATTTTAGAAAACACTTAAAAAATACATGAAACAAGATCAACTGATATTTATCTTTTGCTTTGGAAACAATCTCCATGACTCTAGGGTCTCAGAAAAATTCTGGCTTGTTTAGACAAAATAATTTGTTTTCAATCCTGAAAATCTTTAACATTATCTTCATAGTAATGAAGAGACAAGGATGCGAACCAAGAGATTCACAAATTAGACTTCTAATGTATCCTATTCTCCCCAGACCTCCTCTTCTATGGCATTTACACAGGGCTGGGCATTGATTGCCATTCAAATAAACTGCCATTATCATGAGTTATTCTTATAGATGCCAATTAATGTGAAAATGTGGCAAGAGTAGAAAAAGATAGGGTTATAATAACACCTATTAAGGGTTGAAATTGAAAAAATTCTGACTCTCTCTCCCTCCTTCCCTCTCTCTATATGTGATATTCATTTATTTTGTCAAAGGATGCTTCAGTTTTTTAAAAAAAACCTACTACAGATTTTTTTAAAAGCCAATACTTCTCCAGTATATTTGAGAATTAGGATTTAATTGACAAATTCCAGATAGACATGAGAGAGAGGGTGGGGGTGGGGGAGAGAGAGAGAGAGAGAGAGAGAGAGAGAGAGAGAATGAATCATGGAGCACAAAAAATGTTAATTATATATTTTCCAACAAGATCTATTCATGAGAATTACAAAAATTTTTGTGTTCAATACAGTTAGCCAGATAAGAAGAGGGCAGCACTTTATAATTTTAGGTAAGACAGCATTAAATCTGCCCTAACTGCTTCAGCAGTTAGAAATTTAATTTAGGAATAAATTCAAATTATGAAAACAACAGCGTTCAGAACTGGGAACAGAGAATGCTAGAAGCTGGTTGAATTGGAAATTAGATATGGAAGACTTTTTTGTAGATGCACAGTTTCACTTAGGGACTTAGAAATAAATTAGTATAGCACCGTCTCTCTGGGGCCTCAGAAAAATTCACTGTACAAAGGAAGCCACTTGACCCAGAGAGGAAAAAGGCCTTTCAAAGGCTGCACGTGAGGTGGAAGAGCACAGAGCATCCCCAGTCCAGGGCAGTGCCTCTACATCACCCCCTGCTGGTTGGTGGCTGAGCCTTCAGATAATCCGAGACATGTCTCTCTCTTTCCACTACCTGCAGTGCTTACATCCCCACCACCTGGTATGGGCATGAGGTGAGTGGAGAGCCAAGGGACAGAGAAACATTTTATATTTATATGTTACATATTTATATTTTGTATATTAAACGTTTTATTCAGTTTTTTTTTTAAATTTTATTTTGTTAGTTTCAAGTATACAGTGCATCGGTTAGACATTTAAATAGTTTATAAAATGATCCCCCTAAGTGCTCTTTCTCTCCCCTGGCCCTCCACCTCACCATGACATTAGTGCTGACCGCATTCCCTATGCCGTGCTCCCTATCTCCCTGACCATCTATCAACCACTAATTCGTACTTCTTTAACCTTTCACCCCATTCTCCCAGCCCCCCAACTCCCCTCCCTCTGGCCGTCACCAGACTGTCCTCTATATTTGTTTATGTATAATTTTGCATATTCATTTCTCTCTTTGTCATGAAGTCAACTGGCTTCTACTCCCTACTTGAGAGTAACTGTAAGCCTGGGGCTCATTTGCTAAAACTGCTTAAGTGTGGTAATACTACCATAAATACTTGATAACATTTATTGAGCATCTGTTACATCATGTTCACTTTAAGATGTTATCTAGTTAATACTGCAAAGTCTCAATTCATATCTTCCACTCGAGTCTTAGAAATGGTAAATAACTTTCCCAGTAGAGGACAGGGACATGAAGCATTCTCTCTCTGACTGCAGAGTCCATGTGTTTCCTCTGTCCTACTCAGCCTTCTGCTTTTCACAGAAGGGTACTTAGTAGCCCATTGTAGACTGTGATACTAGAAAGAGATAGATTAGAGTTTAATGCCATGTTACTGCTTATTCAAGTCTTTTTTCCTAATATCATATGAAGAACTGAAAAACCATTATGAAAATAAGAAATGCTCAGATTAGCAATCAAGGTGACTAAAACGTAAAGAAAAGTAGTAAAAAAATGTAAAGTGTAAAAAAAAAATTATCACTATGTTTATTGGCCAAAGCCAATGACCAATTTTGTTAATCTGAATAGATGGAAAATGTTCTAGTAGGAAAAAAAACAAAATATTTCTTAAAGTAGTTTACTTTTCTTTATCTTTTATAGGAGAAAAGTAGTTTTATTTTCTAGTTGTTATCTGCCATATTTCTGATGGCTTAGAAATTATATTCTTCCTTGACCACTGTCTGAAAACTATTTTCTAAGTATTAAATGTATGTCTTTAGAAAAAGTAAAATTGTAATGTGGAAAAAATGTTTTTTCAAAACAGTTTAAGTACACTGAGTTACCTTTAAAAATTATGTCATTGTAAGCTTTCTTCATAGAAAAATTCTAGAGATCTGAGAATTATTGCATATGCTTTAAGTATAGAACTATTACTCTACTTCCAACTTTGTTTTTACTGTCTAAATGATCTGCTATTTCAGGGAAGGGGACTCATTTTTTGTACTTTATTTTCCAAAAGATGATATACCAAATATTACAAATGTTATATCATGACTAGATTAACAGACATTCCACACACAAAGCTTTAAGTTAAGTTCTATGGAGTAGGAAAAACAAATTTAAACTAAATTTTGTTCATACTTTCATAAAAGTGTGAAGTCATTTAGCTTCTCCTGTTTTACAGAACACTATTTAAAATGCCACAAAGATGTATAACAAGACATAAAACTGCAAATATTAACTGTCTATTTCCTTGAAATATAATTTAAACTTGGTGACTAGGACAAGAAAATGTCACATTCCTTTCTCTTGCTAAGGAAATTGCATATTTCCTTTGTAAAAGTAAAAAATATTCAGTCTTCATAAGCATATATGTGACAGTTTCAAAGTTGTTTTGTTTCAGGTTAAAGGTTTCTATAAATTTCATGACTGTCTCAAAGTTGAAAAAAAGAAACAAAGAAGAAAAAGGAAAACACTGACCTTAGGTGTACAAATTTTGTTTGTCACCAATGTTAAAAATGTTTATGCTATATTCATATTTTGTCCTTTCTAAATATTACCCTGAGTTATGTAATTTTCAAAATCATCTTCAAAGGAATACGTTTTCAAATTTGAGCTTATGTTTCCCTCCGTGATCTGCAATGTTCTAAACAGAAAGTTAATCTTCTCTCTTTATCAGGATTTGTGAAACAAACATATGCATTTTACTAAATGGAAAACAGAGCTGGGGCATGGGCAGTTCACTACTGGTGATGCGCAGTTTGGTTGGTAGACTAAAAGACACCATGAGCCTTGGCTGAGAACGTTAATTTCACTTGGGAATTGAGTAATTCTGGAAACAGAGGACTTCTTTTAAGATGTAGATCGATCAAATTTCCAGAATTTCACTAAAATGAAATGGAGGGAAAGTTTAATAGTAACATCAAACACTGTCATAGGGCTTTTCGTCTATTGATTCATTTAATCCTCACCTTGACCTTATTAAGTAGAAATTGTTATCGTCTTCCTTTTACAGATGAGGAAACCAAAGCCAGAGAATTCAAAGACTTTGCCAAAATTCACACTATCTCATGCTCTTAGCCACTCAGTAAATTTTACTGTGCTTGTTTGTGTCTTATTAAATAAGAGAAGAAAAGACGGATAAGATGAAGAAGGTCATGAGGAAGTTTATTCTGTCTGTGAGGGTGGGGCTCCATATGATTTCAGAATTCAATCCAGAGTGCACAGATTTAAAATCCTCTGGGACAAGCTGGTGGGTCACAGGATTTCACAGAGCCCACCCTAAACCTCTGAGGGAGACAGGAAGGTCCCTAGCTCGGCTCCCTGGCTCCTAGTTCACTGGCCCACCTAGCAGTTTTATTAGCTACTACCACAGCTTTCCTGGTCTCTGGAGAGGTTGCAGATTCAAGAACCAGTCAGGACCATTGGGGAGCACAGAACACCACACTTACCTGTGGGATGAATCTAGATGTATGCTTTTTCCAACTACTGTGTGATCAGGATAAAAGTACACATGTACATAGATATCTCTATGTAGAGATGTGAGGGTTTTTTTTTTTTTCCACTTTATTCTCCACCCCCCATTATTAACAGCACAGTAAAAATGTACTACCAGATTTGGGAAGTCTATTTAACTCCCAATTTTGCATAACAATAAAAGGAGCTTGCTCTGGATTCAGAAGATTCCAATAGATTTCCTCTGTAAGAATAACTTTTGTTGAAAAAAATAATACATATTGCTTTTGCCATGACAAGAATAAGCTAGAGTCCATTTTGTTTATCACGATATATGTTAAATAGCATTTTCCCTACTCCACACATATTTATGAGAAAAATATAGTTGTATCTCTTACATAACTTATCAAAATAAAAAATTTTCTAAGGATTTCTGACTAATGCATCTTTAAAAATTAAACTAATTTGATCATTTGCACCATAATTTCCCTATATTACAAAAGTATGTGTAGAGTTTTTATAAGCACATAACTTATTACTAACATCACTGACTGGAATACTTTTGCAATTTTAATGATCTCCGAATGATCAAAAATACTATATTATAGAACTCACCTTTTGCCCATTCATCCCTGGAATTCCAGGTGCTCCAATAGAACCCTAAGGAGACATAACTAAATTAAATCGATATCATACTCACAAATATTTCAATTCTCGGCTTATATTGCATTAGTTATGTCAGCCATAACTTTACTTTGCTAAAACATATCTGGGAGGCTATGTTTTTCAGATCTTATCTACTGTGTTCAAACATAGGATAATAAGCATCAACTTCTCCCAGAAACTATGGAGTTAAATTTAACCATTTCTAAATATTCACTTACCTGTAATTTGATTTTAAATAAAGTTACATTATAAATTGAGACCCATGGCTATCACAAGGCCACATGGCTCTAAATTTGGGTGCTTTTAGGAAATAAACAGTTCCATCTGGAAAAAGCCTGGCAATAGCAGTAACTCTTAAATTTCATGAGTTTAAATACCATAAAAAAGGTAATTAAAATAACAATCACTTGTTCAACAATTAGTAAAATAAGGGACCCATGTTGTAAACTCAAATCTGTTGTATTTGCAGCATTTCTCCCCCACTCCCAACTTTTAGAAAGTTCTTTTAAGCTGCATGAGTGTGAATATGTCTTGCAAAGTAGACTAGAAAAGATGTTACAATTCTTAAACACTGACGAAGAATAATACAACTTCTGAATATAAAATATTAGGGGGGTGTGTGTGTGCACACATGCACTTAACACATACGCACAGGTACACTGGGGTGAATACCAATGATTGGACATAGGTGGGGTGAACTGAGAATAAGAAAGCTAATTATTACCTGTGGAAATCTATGACATTTAATTGGACAGAGTAACATCAACAAATGTTTTTAAATGGTGATGTTATTTCCCTCCATACACCTACCTCCCTCTTAGCCTCTGGAAAAACCATTTTTAAAGAAAATGTGCTTATTCTTTGCCTAGCACTAGAAAATAGCTTTTTCTCAGTAGATGCATGATATTAAATTTCTGAATAATAATGGGGAAAAATTTTAAAGAAGTTATAAACCGAAAATTGCTCTAAAAAATAAGGTCTATTAAAAATATAGTCACTATAGGCAAAATAAATGGAGATGGCAAGTTCCTTAGTGCTTTCAGTGATTGAACTGAGTGGGTCATTAGAGGGCTTCCCAAAACCTGAGGCAGTAATTTTATCCTGGTTGCATGTGGATTAGAGTAGCTTTACAATTTCACACTATGCTTAATAGAGACATTACTGGAAGGACAAAGTGTTCCTATACACAAATTGTCTCACAACTCATTGGCTTTTATTTGGTTTGTAGGATTATGTTTCAACAGATGTCACATGCCCAATGCTTGGGGATAAAAAGTCTCTATCTTTGATGGATTCCAAAGATAAAGATAATCACTTTCCCACCTGTTGTAATGCAATTGTTTTCTTTAGTTTTCTGCAGGTTAAATATCCTTTCCCCCACCTCGTGGAGTGGGAGGTGTAATGAGGAACGGGGATTTAGTGATATTTTGTTGGCAAAGGGCCATCTACCTGTTATTGATATATTTATTACTGCACTATTGATGTAATTTTAGAAGTTTTAGAGCCTATCAGAATATAATGATCAGTTCTGATGACTCTGGATAATGTTAAATGACAATCAGGAAGTCACTTTTCAGATTACCTCAGCAAAGAAAGACACTGGTGGGCCACTCAAATACAGTTACCAATCAACAAGTATGTACTTTGTTCTGGTCAGTTCCATGATCATTTGGCAATCAAATATTTGAGCGAGGCCATGCATTCAATTTGCAATGTCGTATGACCCTTCACATTCTAAGTTTTGTCACATTTGCCAATATTTGAATTAAAAATTCAATAACCTACATGTTTGGCAGACAGCTTAAAAAGAGTCTGCTCTGGATTCATTGGATTTTCTATAATGGAGTCAATTAGAAATCTAATAGCTCATATTATATGATTGTATTTTTAGAAAGCAGACTACACAACCCAGACTGGTTCAGCATGGTTTACAGTAGCTAATGACATTCACTGCTCATGCTTAGCCATTAGGCCATGGGAGCATAATTACTTTTACGATATTGTTTATACGCTACCTTTTGTCCTGGAGGCCCCAGAGGACCCTAAAAAAAAAAAAAAAATCAATTCAATTAACATGATACTGTGACCATTTAAACTTAAATACCAATGGTAAAACTGTGCTATTCTATAAGGTTCTCTTTGCTGTGCTGAAATATGCTCATGTTTTTACATCAAAAAAAATGAAAATTTTCTGTTGGAAGTACATAAGAGATCTTTTCTTCTCGTTCTCTTTTGAAGGACAATAAGCATATGCAGTAGGAGCTTGATTTTTCTCCTTTATAAAAAGAATCTTTGTTATCCCAATGCATCTGTTTCTTCAAATACCTGCAAATCTACTGCACCAGTCTCATTTAGGAAGCTCAAGATGTTGTAGCTAGAAGCAGTTACAATGCAATGCAGTTCTCCAGTAAACAAACAGACACATGATATGACTTCTGCATCTTCAATACTTCAGTAAGCAAATTTGCAAAGGAAATAATTGAATAGCATTACAAATAAACGTGTTTTATTCTATTCTTCCTCTTATGAAATGTGGTCAATTGACCTGCACAAAAATCTGTTTTCAAACTAAGGGATGACAAGGTCCATTGTGGCGCATAGTGTGCACCAGAAAAGAGAACAAAAGACACAGTAGGCTGTTGCATAAACTGT